GCACAACCACAACTCCATTCTCACCCCAATCCCTACAGTTGGCAGCCATGGCCAAGCTCTCGGCCTCAGAGGCAGCTACCTTCTGCGCACACCAGGCCATCCAGATCCTTGGGGGCATGGGCTACGTGAGCGACATGCCCGCAGAGAGGCACTACCGTGATGCACGCATCACCGAGATCTACGAGGGCACGTCAGAGATCCAGCGACTGGTCATTGCAGGCAACCTCATCAAAGAGTACCAGGCTTTGTAGGAGGGAAGAAGCAAGACTGGGGGATAGAGAGGAATTAAAACTATAAGGGAAAGGGTACACAAAATTAAGGGGAAGAAAAGATTGTTGGAAAATGATGAAATGAGGAAGGGGTTGTGGAATATTCAAAAGAAACAGCAAATACTCTGTGCATTTTTTGTATGTCAGAGGAATTCTCATTGCTAATAGAATTCCTATCTATTAGCAAAAGGAATTCTATATTTATACCAACTGCTATAGAAGCCACCATGCAGTGGAATGAAAAATAAAATGTTTTTTCTTGTATATATACTCACAAAAGATTTTAAATTCATATAAATACTGTATATACACACATGCTATTCTGTGGATATATAGCCTCAGTCATATAAATAAACCTTTGGAATTTTATACATGTTGGGATACAATTTTTGTATGAATATCTTACTAAAATTGTTTTTGCTAATTGTACATTTTAAACTTTCTGTCTCACAGTTTATTGACAACTTGCAACGTATCAATGCAATATTATCCTTGTACAGTTATTTGCAGAGTTTAATTTAAATAAAATATAGATTTGTTTGTGGATCTTTTATTGTTAGTGTCCTTAAGAATTAGTTTAAGGAGATATGAGTATATACTATATTTTTTATTACTCTACTGCACTGTTTCTGAAGAAAAAAATATGTATTGTAAGCAAAACAAATATTCATCTGATACTGTATTGCTGTAGGAGAACAGGCATGTACTGTTTTGGAACCTGAATTGAATTGGCCCTGGAGAGGAGCAGCCTGTTCACAGTACTTCACCATTGTGGTGCTAATGCTGATGTGAGTGCATAGCTACATCCACCCTTCAATTCCACCTATGAGGGTCTCATATGACGCACAGTAGGGCAGATCCTCACAACAGGTCTGATTGATCTATGCCACAACTTCCTTAGTTGCTCCCCAGGCTTCCTCCACCCATGGCTGTCTAGATCAGAGACAACCTTGTGGGTAGGATTGTCCTAAGGGAAACAAGCCAGGTGCCTGTATAGCCTGAGTTGATAGTCCCAGATTGTGTAACAGGTCCTGTGTCAATCTCACAATGTAACTGTTGGTTGGACACATGTACTGTACCCTTTGATCCGGTACAAGGACCTGTTATAAAAGGTATGAAGATGAGACTCCAAGGTACAGGATGGCATACAGACTTCACTAACTTAGAGTAAAACTGGCAGTAGCAGGGCCTTGAAGATGTGTAACTTAGTCATTTGCATAATACTGGCATCTCCAGATGCTCTTGTTGAGAGAGATCATTGTCCCTGCTGACAACTCAGTTTCACTACCGAGGTATGTAAAGCTCACTATAACTTCAATATCCTTGCTGCAAGCACATACTGGCTGGATATGGATCTTGGTCTTTGTATAGAAGACCTCTTGTCCCAAGGGCTTTACTTCATTGCTAAACTCATCTAGAACCACCACTAGAGTTTCCAGAGACTCAGATAGAATAGCAACATCGTCAGCAAAGTGAAGGTTGGTAACCTTGATATTGCCCAGAGTTAATCCTTGCAAATGTTGGAAGGGGTTGGTGTTTCATGTGGACAGGTTGAGGGAAGGGGAGTGTCGCTAGGCTGTTTTGAAGTGGACTCGGATGGTACTCACAACTAATCTATGATCAATACCACTGAATGCGGCACTCCAGTATACCTTACAGTTCTGGAGGATACTCCAGCGAGTGCTAGCGAGGAAGTGGTCAATCTCCTTGGTCACTGTACCTGCATTACTGTACTATGTCCATCCTCAATTCCTGTGACCTTACAAAATCCCGGAAAAGGAGGCTATTCTTGCTACTGGTATCAGCTCCCTAGCCATGGGGACCGAAAGACATGTCATAGTCAACTTGATCACCGCCAGATGCTGCATTGAAGGCACCTAGAACAATGCGAATATCTCGCCGGGGACAACTTGCATTGTCATAGATGCAAGTTTGACGTAAAACATCTCTTTCACGTCGAGTCTATAAACTTCAGTAGGAGACCAGACGGCAATGAGAGACGGGAAGCTCAACGCACACTTCATCCCCAGTGCGAGACTGATCTGATCAGGAGGACGGGGCTGGCGGGGGGCGCGAGCAACAGCTGCGACAGTGTGGCCACGTGGAGGCCCACAGCGAGTGAAGTGCAGCCTCCCCGTGCATGTGACCGAGCTCATGTCATGGACTGAGAAGAAGGGCGGGAATAGAAGGGCCGATGTGGGTTCACGGCAACGGACGCAGATGTGCGGCCTAGTCGTGGTGCGAGGCGGTCGCGTCTCAGGACCTGCTGTGGGTGTGTAAGTTGGAGGTAAGTATATATATTGTACATTGCTTGTGTATATACGGTTTACATGTGCCTTGTTTTTATGGAGATAAAAGTTTAAGTTTCTATCTTTGTGATTTAAGTGAACTGTATGTTAAATGAAAGGGCCAATATAATTTCTATGTAGATCTTTTTTATAAGAAAAGGTATAAAAAACGCCAGGGTATCTATCCATGTTCCCCGCACTATCTGCCCAATGCTTCAGTTTGTCATTACTGTCATTATGACAAACATATTTGAGTTCACCATTAACATTCCACTAACGATCCATTTATGCCTTTGCTATTTGACCAGCGTAGTGTCCATTTTAACCCGTAGGGTAGAATAGCAGCGCAGTTTGTGTCTAATAATAGGAAAAAATAAGTACCGCTTATTTCGATTCTTTATTGATAGTTAGGAAAGAATTCGCACAATACAATGTTTTTTGTGTATATATATTTTTTTCAATATAATGATCCCATTTCATGTAATCCACAAAAAAGAAGAAATGGAAATAAGGAAAGAAAACGTTTAACTTACAACCAACCGCTGGAAAAAAAATTCTGACATTAACCTCGAAATGCATTCTATGAATTTATGACGGATTCTTATAAAGACAGGTACTAAATGTTTTTTAAATGATTTATTTTATCTATTATTTATTCTGTGTCATTATTATTATCGTTATTATTATCATTATCACTATCATCATTAACGTTACTTTATGTTTATTTTAACCTTTATTTTAAGATTATCATTAATATTATTCATTATTATTGTTATTATTATAATTATTCCTATTGTCATTACAATTACTTCAGGCAGATTGTACAAGGTGGGTAACTATGAGAAAGACATGACATTTTATTGGATCACAGAAAGGAGACACTGAGACAGGCAAGGACGACGAGCCTAAAAAATTTAAGAAAAAATGGCCGCTCTCTCACTCTGCCTTCGTCTCGAAACAACTCTAAAGTGTTACCTGACAACCGTTGTCACTACACTGTCAAAAGGGTGGAGTATCGAGTGCTAATGTACTAAGGACTACAATATATGACATCATACCACTGATGACATCATATCACCTGATAATGGCTTATGTATAAGGTATTAATGATCTATAATAATAACAACAACTCACGTTATTATCTAGCTTAACAGGTCATTAACAGTTGTGTTATGACATTCTTTAAAAAAAAGGTATAATTCAATGCACCCCTTTCCCTCCCCTTCCAAAAAAATAAAATAAATAAAAAATAAGTCTGTATCCCCTAACAATGGATGACTTAAAGAAGACGACTTCCTCGCAGTCCCGGTTGAAGCTTCTCCCAAGGAACCTTTGTGTTTCTGCGGGCTCGGGACGTGTCTCTCTATCACTACAAACAAGGCAATTAATGGCAGGCAGACGTGGGTTGGTCAATCAAGAAACGCTACAAAAAATCGTGGAGGCGAGACTCCGTAGACTTTTTCCTCTTTTTTTTCTCGGAACAGCGCGCCAGTCTTTCAGAGGGAAAAAAATAGACTAACAAATGCTATAGAAGTTAAGCGTTCCTCCCATGGGCTGTGACAACATTCCCCATATCGTTATTATATATGTGTGTATTTCAAAACTACATCGAGTCGGCTTCCCTCGAAGGACTGGCGCCGCAGGACATACCGGCAACACATGAGGTCGGAAAAAGGGATTTTTACAACATATTTTCTTTCCTTTTTAATCGAACCAAAATAGTGCTCGCTATATAAAGTTCTGAAATCCAGAACGTTTAAAGAATTTAGTCACGTCGATTATTCATCATAATCTAAATTTTTAGTCACTCCCGGCAAATGACTTTCGCTCCCTCGTCGACCGCCTCAAATAGATGCACAATATATCTATCGCTCGGAATCTGCCTCATCACAGTGCTCACAAAAGTTCACACGAGAATGAACAACATGTCATCCATCAACAATAAGAAATGATATGAAAATAACCGAGTCCTCTATACACATAATGGGCAAATAACATCATAACAGTGACGTGAACACTCTTGTTAGCTAAAACGTGTGCATAGTAGGTGTCTCTGCCTGTGTTCTCGCGGCCGCACCTTCAATGGCTAACAGAAGACGGTCGCAATGCGCAGATCGCCCCAACATTGAGGAAATTTTTATTTTATTTTATTTATATTCTAATTCATGTTACTTTACACTGCTGATAACTCTTGTTCAATTCGAAGTGTTGAAAAAATGTAACGTGAACAATTAGATTTTTATCAGGTTTCCTTATAGCATTATCGCCGTTTCAGCAGAAGTATTCATTTGTTACGTGTGTTTTTTCACATGCGCAAATTTTAGGTGCAACAATTGCACTACACATACGAGGGCGATTTGCAACATTATGACCGCGAATGCATCTTGAAATTCTGTCAACTCGGAATATTAAAAAAAAATCAACGAGGAGGGCGAGACTCCGTAGACTTTTTCCTCTTTTTTTTTCTCGGAACAGCGCGCCAGTCTTTCAGAGGGAAAAAAATAGACTAACAAATGCTATAGAAGTTAAGCGTTCCTCCCATGGGCTGTGACAACATTCCCCATATCGTTATTATATATGTGTGTATTTCAAAACTACATCGAGTCGGCTTCCCTCGAAGGACTGGCGCCGCAGGACATACCGGCAACACATGAGGTCGGAAAAAGGGATTTTTACAACATATTTTCTTTCCTTTTTAATCGAACCAAAATAGTGCTCGCTATATAAAGTTCTGAAATCCAGAACGTTTAAAGAATTTAGTCACGTCGATTATTCATCATAATCTAAATTTTTAGTCACTCCCGGCAAATGACTTTCGCTCCCTCGTCGACCGCCTCAAATAGATGCACAATATATCTATCGCTCGGAATCTGCCTCATCACAGTGCTCACAAAAGTTCACACGAGAATGAACAACATGTCATCCATCAACAATAAGAAATGATATGAAAATAACCGAGTCCTCTATACACATAATGGGCAAATAACATCATAACAGTGACGTGAACACTCTTGTTAGCTAAAACGTGTGCATAGTAGGTGTCTCTGCCTGTGTTCTCGCGGCCGCACCTTCAATGGCTAACAGAAGACGGTCGCAATGCGCAGATCGCCCCAACATTGAGGAAATTTTTTTTTTTTTTATTTATATTCTAATTCATGTTACTTTACACTGCTGATAACTCTTGTTCAATTCGAAGTGTTGAAAAAATGTAACGTGAACAATTAGATTTTTATCAGGTTTCCTTATAGCATTATCGCCGTTTCAGCAGAAGTATTCATTTGTTACGTGTGTTTTTTCACATGCGCAAATTTTAGGTGCAACAATTGCACTACACATACGAGGGCGATTTGCAACATTATGACCGCGAATGCATCTTGAAATTCTGTCAACTCGGAATATTAAAAAAAAATCAACGAGACATCGCACATTTTTATATAACATTTACAAACTACCTTAAAACCTACGGTCGGGTGCGATCTGTAGTAACAAGCGTAATAATAAAATAAATAGTAACAATTCAAAATATATTAATATATATATGGTATGTATATATGTATATATATAATTACTATCAGGTAATCAAGGAATCACATAGATAAAAGTGGTGGCTGGCTCTTCTCCTCCCCGGCACTGGACCGCCGAGGGAGGGAGGGTGCCAACTGCCCGAGCCTAATGCCACTTGCTCCTCAGGAAAGGTAATGCCTAACGCTACGACGAACTTACTCGAAAACATTGTCTTGGATGTCTAAAAAGCTACTCCCATACGCTTTCGTTAAAAAAAAGAAGAAAAAAATCGTAAAAGAGAGGGATTTAAGTTGTTTTTTTATTATTATTATCTATTTATTATCATTAATCTATTTGGTTCTTTTGTGCATATGTCTGCATGGCACCTGAGTAAGGTTAGCTAAGGAGGAGACCGTTACTTCAGGTTGTTTCTTCGTGAAAATGTGTTCTCATGCACTCTGACTCTTAACATTATCATCATCATTGGTCTTCCTTTACGAACGGATAACAACAACAACAATATAAATAGAAAATACATAAATAAAACGAGGTATCGAGGCGGGGGGGCTGGCTGTCCTCCGGGGCCTCGGGCCGACGCCTTCAGCTCCTTCAGCAGAGGTTCCTGGCGCTCAGCAGGTGGGCAGCCGCTCGCCTCCGCCTCAGCCGAAGATGCCGATCACGTTGGATATGGTGTCTCCGATGGACGACAGGAAGCCGCCTATCCCGCCCTGGGGCTGAGGGGCGCCGCCCTGCTGCTGGGTCGGGCCGCCCACGTACACGGGGCGCCGCTGCTGGTCGATGCGGTGCTGTGAATGGGAGGCGCGGTTAGTGCGGCCGCGGACGCTCGAGGGAGTGGACGTGTTGCGTCCACTCTTCCCTCGGGGCGCGTGAGAGGATGCCGTCCCTAAATCTCTCTCCATATATATCCCTATCCTCTTATACTTCAATAATGAAAGTCACGAATTAACAGCCATGCATTCCGTCATTGAAGCCCTGTTCGGCTGACACCAGTTCGTGTGTAGTTTGTAGTTTACTCAAGATTAAAGGAGATGATCTCTCTCCGAGTCTCTTGAATGAGCCTTCGAGCAGAGAACAGTTTGGGAAATCAAGCTCTTCTAGATCAAAGGTATCATTTTCATCTTATTAGCATATCTGCTGATGAGATTTTCACTTATTTTTCTCCAGTAAAACCTATTTTTGATGTGACAAATGCAAATGTATGTTCAGTTATAAAAATTATAATATCAATGATAAACTGGTGTTGACAGTCAGGAGCTCTATATAGCTTGAGGAAACTGGGACTAACGAGAAATATCTTAAAAAATCATGATCACATTCAGCCATAAGGGATGATTTGAACCTTAAGCATTAAAAGGCAAATATGCGCGGTTGTAAGCACATAAAACCACGTATTTACACACAAAAAAACATGCATTGAAATAAATACTATATACAAGTACGGACACAAACACATACACACGCACAAATACACACACACATTTACACACATAAGATTAAAACCACATAAATAATCTAGTTCAGGGGTTTTCATTGTTACAGTTCATGAAATCTAATAATAAGTGGTTAGCTAAAATATCTATAACATGTTAAATCTTGAAGTTACACAGATAAATAGTGAACCCTGAAAACCCCTGATCCAGAAAAAACATATCATTGACACTCACTAACATGACCTGAGTTTTTTATTTTCTTATTTGTTTTTTAATGTTTTTTTTTATATTAATTCCACGAACCACAAGCCATGCACCACTGCACACTCACCGGAACCAAGCTATCGCCACACCCACAACCACAACCGCCAGCCACAACCCCACAGCATGCAAAGACCACATACAGCAAGCAAAAAAACCTCCACCACATTTCTAGCCAGGGATCCCGAATGTAAAAGATGCACACCTTCGCCGAATTCGTTGTAAATGACTTTTTCATTTCCACGAGCTTCAGGGTATCATTGTTACAAATTATTAAGACAGTTATCACTCACTATCATTTCATCACTGATCGATGGTATTACATCAGTTTATTAAATATCATTAAAGCATAACTAGAAGTAAAAGAGCCTCCGAAGAAACGAAGTGCTCTGATGTCTATGACGCCAAAGCGTCCCCGTGGCCCGATGAATGGGAAAATAGCCATAAGAGAGGAAATTAAAGAAATTAAATCGCGACGTTTCGAACTCGCCAAACGGAAGGACAACCGATATGGATCAGATGTCGGTTATTTTTCCTCCGTCTGATGAGGAAGTCCAGAGGCATTCGAAACGTCGCGAAGTAATGTCTCGCTTCCTCGCGGCCGTTTCCCCGCTCATCTTCGCGCCCTTCGCCAGCGCCCAGCGAGTTGTGCATCTTCCCCCTCGGGCCCTTCGGCTCTCCCGTACCCGCGCGTCCTCCCTGGCGCCGCGAGTCCGCATCAGGGCACGCGTGAAGTCCCCTGTTGGCCCGCATGCAAGCGAGCAGCCAGGGCGTCGCAACCACCACCTGTGTTGACCTCGATCTGGCGCGTGGCGTCCATGCACCGTGACGTCACACGCGCCCGCCTGTTGACCTGACCTGAGCTGACCTTCCGAGCAATCCGGGATCTGGCCGATCGGGTTTCGCTTTGCGAGGCGGGTCCTTTTTCTCTTTTTTTTTTCCTAATATCGTTTGACTCTTAACACTTATTTAAATTTCCTTATTCACAGTATCTCTGTGTATATTTTTCCCCTTTTTCGTCTCAAGAACAGTTGAGAAAAACATGTCCGTTCCAGACGTGTGAGATTTAAAAGAGAAGTTCGGCTTAAACTTTATCCTACGAGTCATCAAAGCGTAATCACTGAAACGACTCACGCTTTTCAGTGAAAATGCGATGAAGACAACTTTGAAAAAACCTTTAAAAAAAAACTTTAGTCTGAATCAAAAACGCTAAGTGTCATAAACGAATAAAACTGTAAATCTTTTGCTACGATACATCAACACTATAAACTTCTAGCTAAATCTGAACCTCAAAGAAAAAAAAACTGCCTAAAATCACATTAAAATCAATTGCAAGAACTTTTTTTTTTCATTTTACAAATTTTATATTCTTTCGATAGATTATCACAGACAAGACCATTACCATGTTGCATTATAATTACTATTAAAAAATGGCGGATATTTTTATCACATAATCAGTAACACAAGATCTAGAAACATCAGATCTAAAAGACAACGATGTGCATATTTCGTGTAGTTTAAAAAGTGTCAAAAAACCGAACTGGATATACGGAACATCTACCAACTCTCTGCGACAGACGATGAATTACGTGCCTAAAAAATGTCTTACTCGGTTTTCCACAGAGCCACGAATAAAGCTGATTAACTGGGAATCAGTTAATGATAAGTTACACGATGATTAGATATATAATAATATTCCTTTCCTTTTCTTTCGAACGATAAAGGCTTACGAAGAATTACGTGCCTAATATATCTTACTAAATACAGGTGAACACACAGGCGTATTTCAGCTGTAACCAGAGAACGGACCTCGGCGCTCTAATGATCAAAGTTAACTGTAGAAAAAAAAAGTGATATGAAACGAGCGTAAAATATAAACCATATAAATCAACAACTTGCTAAAATGACGCTCGTTGCTATGTAGGCGGACGTCGGTTTAAGACGATTATTCACTCATTTATTTACAAAATTTGTTTCGTCAACACCACTGCCTTTACATCTCGATAACATCTGTTACAGAAAAAAAGACTACCTCATAACGCTAGCTACTTCGCGTTTTTATTCATTTATTTATTCATTAACTTTTAGGTTATTATCCCCTACCTATACTTCTCTTTCGTAAACGCGACCTCATTTTTTTCTTTATTTCGTTGCTTCCATTACCTAACCCAGCCTTCCTACAATCTGGCACGTGCCTTACTCGAATTAACGGAATTCGGAAATTTTATCTTTATAATTAAAAGCCTCGCGGTCCTTCCTGTATTACTTATATTACACTATCATGAGAGAAAAATCCAAGTTGCGAAGTTTAAAATTTAGTCTTTGAAAGGGATCCGAATCAACACTTTTGAAAATAAGGAAATTTATCGCCGTTTAGGTTTACTTCTATTGAATATTACAATATCGAAAATCACTTTATAGTCATCCTTATCCTCGATTTGTTATCGTGAAAAGTAAAAAAAAAAAATCCCCTTTTTAACTTTTTTTTCCATATCCATTTCCACATTCCTTCTCCAAAATTTCTACCCAATTCCGTCCAACACATTTTCTCTCTAATAATTCCCTCTTTCAAATCCTTCTCCTCCATAATTCCTTCCAATTCCCAAGCACTATTAACCCCTCTCTCTCTTTAGAAAAAAAATCCTCTTCCTAACGCCCTCTCATCGCCGACAAATTCCAAGGCCCTTTTTTCCACTAATTTTTCTTCGACCTCGCCCGCACTACCTTGGCCGCGAACAGAGTGGCCGCCGTCACCACCATCAGGACGACGGCCCAGACCCACAGCGCCGGATTGCTCAGGGTCTCTGGCTGCGGAGGGAAGCGGTCAGGGAGAGGGGAGGGGAGAGCAGGAGAGAGAAGGAGGGAGGAGGAGAGAGGAGGAGAGAGAAGGAGAGAGAAGGATGGAGGAGGAGAGAGAAGGAGAGAGAAGGAGAGAGAGAGAGAGAGAGAGAGAGAGAGAGAGAGAGAGAGAGAGAGAGAGAGAGAGAGAGAGGAAGGGAGAGCAAGAGAGAGAGGAGAAGAGAGGAGAGAACAAGAGACAGGCAGGAGGAGGAAGAGGAGGAGAAACAAGGAGAGAGAAGGAGAGAACAAGAGAGAGACAAGAGGAGAGAGAGTGAGGAGGAGGAGGTAGAGAGAGAAGGAGAGCAAGAGAGGAGGAGCATGAGGAGGTGGAGAGAGATGGGGAGCGAGGGAGAGCAAGAGAGAGAGGAGGGGAAGGAGGAGGTAGAGAGAGAGGAGGAGGAGAAGGGGGAGTACAGAGAGAAGGAGAGAAAGGAGGAGAAGGAAAAACAAAAATAGGAAAGATAAGAGGGAAAGAGAGAGATGGAGAGAAAAGAAGAAGGCAGAGAAAAGAGAGAAAAAAAGAAGCAGAAGAAAAGAGAGAGAAGGAGGGAGGGAGAGAGAAAACAAAAGGTTAGTAACCCACCTCCAGTGCTCTCTACGTGATGTGAGGAAACTAAGGTTAATTATTTACACAAGTATGCATATATTTACGAATATTGAGAATTTCGTTTTATCTTTTTCGGTAAGTGAATTAGATCATCAAAGTAATTATTCTGAAAGATAAGCATTGTGATTAAAAAGACGTTGTAGGTATATCATAGGATTTACAAGTGCAGGGTATGTTCATGCATAAACCTATCTAACATATATATATATATATATATATATATATATATATATATATATATATATATATATATATATATATATATATATATATATATATATATATTCCAAAAGATACTACTAAGAATAATCATAGAAGAGAGTGTTAGATATATATAAGGACAAGAGGAACCACAGTCTTAGACGCGAAAGCAGAAAGATACAAGACAAGTGATGATAAAAGGGGGATGGAGAGGGAGAGGAAGAGGAAGAGAGAATGAGAAAGAAAAGGAGAGAGAGAGAGAGAGCGAGAGAGAGAGAATGAAAGAGAGAGAGAGAGAACGAGAGAGAGAACGAGAGAGAGAACGAGAGAGAGAGAGAGAGAGAGAGAGAGAGAGAGAGAGAGAGAGAGAGAGAGTGAGAGAGAGAGATAGAGAGAGAGAGAGAGAGAAAGAGAGAGAGAGAATGAAAGAGAGAGAGAGAGAGAGAGAGAGAGAGAGAGAGAGAGAGAGAGAGAGAGAGAGAGAGAGAGAGAGCGAGAGAGAGAGAAAGAAGGAAAAGGGGGCATTTGGCAACACCGTTTCGTGTGTGTGTGGAGGGGGTGGGGGGTGGGGGGAGGGGGAGGAGTTGAGGGGTCATCACCATCTCATCACCGCCACGGCTTCGTCACCTCCTCCGCATCAGCTGGGTGTCTCCCGGAGCCAAACCTTTCGGGATTTTTACGCATTCACACATCTTCTACTTTAATCTACGGTACAGGGTCTTCTTCCTCCCCTTTTCTGATTCTTCTTCTTCCTCTTTTATCACTCTCTCTCTACTTTACGGCTGAGGGAACGATTCAAAGGATGGGGAAGTAGATCACTCTATCTATTCGTCTATCTAGGTATGTGAAGTCCAATATTTTCTACTTGGAGACATGGCAACTGCGGGGGAAGGGGAGTGCGAAAGGGAGAGATTCTGGACATATATATATATATATATATATATATATATATATATATATATATATATATATATATATATATATATATATATATACACACATATATACATATATATATATATATATATATATATATATATATATATATATATATATATATATATATATATATATATATATATACACACAAATACATAGTAATATATGTACATACATACATACATATATATACATATATATATATATATATATATATATATATATATATATATATATATATATATATATATATATATATATATATATTGTCACATATTGTCGGGGGATCTACCATGCGAGTGGGGGAGGGGGGGCAAAGGGGGGGGTCTTCACACGCGGGGGGGAGGTCCTCACCTGACGAAGGATTGAAGGATTTGCCCACAGGAGCCGCGAGCCAAGAAGGAAGAGGAGGTGGAGGAAGAGGAGGAGGAAGAGGAGGAGGAGGAGGAGGAGGAGGAAGAGGACGCTGGTGGCCGCCATCTTTGTTTTCTTTCCTCTCATTCGGTTCAACTTCCGGTCTCTTTCTTGTCTCTTCGTCTCCCGCGAAAGACTCCTGGCTTGCGACGTCTGGCGGAACCTTGTCCAGGCTCTGTCTCTCTCTTGAGCTCAAGCGTCACAGAACTATACATACACACGTACAAGCACACATAAACTCGCACACACACACCTCACACACGCACAGGAGTATTTGTGTTTCTGCAGGCTTTCTTCGGCGGCCGCCCTCCGCCCTCCGTCTCCCTCCCGGGGGCCGAGGGAGCCCCTCAGCCCACGTACTCCCTCAGGAGCGCCAGGCAAGGCACCAGCAGGAACACGGCCAGGACCACGTTGCAGGCCGTGGTCGCCTTGCTGTGGCCGGCGGGACGCCCCTGGCCGGAGGGGTACGCGGGGCGACCGGCGTGGCCGAAGGGGCTCCTGCGGCTGCCAGCAAAGGGCTCGGCCGCGGGCGCGCCGGCCGCCAGCAGGTGGGTCCAGCCGGCGTCCGCAGTGCTCTGCCTCATCAGGATCTTGAGGATTTCGTCTTCCTGGCGGTCGAGCTCCTCGTCGGTCAGCTCATAATCCTCGTCGAAGGCAAGGTCATCATCCTCTTCGTCATCTTCGTCATCATCATCGCCGTCGTCGCCGTCGTCTGCTTGTCCGCTATTCAGCCAGAGTTCTCTCCTGGTCTCTGTTCTCGAGAACCCTGTCGGCAGGAGGGAGCACGGCGGGGGGGCGGGGGCGGGGAAGAGCGCGAGGCCCGGCTTCGGGCTGGTCTTCGCGGCCTCTGCGTTTTCTCCGCTCTCTCCTTTGACCATAGTACTTGCGCTCTCTATGTTCTCTCTGCTATCTCCGTTCTCTCTGCTATCTCCGTTGTTTTCGCCCTCTATGTCGCTTCCGTTCAATTTGCTATCTATGTTATCTCCATCCTCTCGGGTCTCTCTATCGTCTTTGTTATCTGGTTTCTCTCTGTTTTCTGTTTCTTTCGCCAGAGACAAGTTCGGGGGAATGCGAGTGTGTGCGGATGTGCCACGGGGAGGAGGAAGAGGAGAAGGAGAAGAAGAAGAAGAAGAAGAAGAAGAAAAAGGAGAAGGAGAATGAAAAGGGGGATAAGAAAGGGAAGAAGAAGAAGATGGAGGAGAAAGAGAAGGAGGATCAGAAGGAGAAGAAGAAGAAGAAGACGAGGGAGAGAGAGAAGGTTTAGAATGAGAAGATGAAGAGGAAGGAGGAGATGGATCAGGAGTAAGAGGGAGAGCAGGAAGGGGAGGAGACGAGGAAGGAGATAGAGAATCAGCGAGAACGAAGGAGAGAGGGAGAAGCAAGGAGGAAGAGGAGGAGGAGATATTTAGTTGCTGTTGCCCGGGAGACAGAGGAGGGGGGAGGGGAGGGAGAAGAGGAGGAGAAATAGAAGGAGGAGGTAGAGAGTCTGCCAGATCGAAAGAGAGTGGGTGGGCAGAGGAGGAGGAGGAGGAGGAGGAGGAGGAGGAGGAGGAGGAAGAGGAGGAAGAGGAGGAGGAAGGGGAGGAAGAGGAGGAGGAGGAGGAGGAAGAGGAGGAGGAGGAGGAGGAGATATGCTGTTTTACCCCGGGAGACGGCAGTATGGGTAGAGGAGTAGAAGAAGGAGGGAGAGAGAGAGAAGAAGTCGATGAAGAGGAATAGAAGTGAGAATAAGAAGGAGGAGGAGGTAAAGAACCGGCATTCGCGAAGGCCAGAGGGAGGAGGAGAGAGGCGGAAGAGGAAGAAGACGAGGGAGAAGAAGAAGAAGAAGAAGAAGAGGGGTGAGAGGACGAAGAAGAAGAAGACGAAGACGAAGACGAAGAAGAAGAAGACGAAGACGAAGGAGAAGAAGGACGAGAGGAGGAAGAGGCGAGAGAAGAAGAGCGGGAGGACGAGAGAGGCTGTCGTACCCCGGCTGTCGTCTCGGGCGCCTGCTGCTCCGGCCGCGAGGGCAGGGGCGTCGGGCCGGGCTACGGGGGAGGAGAATGACGGCCGAGGTCAAGGGTCACATCCGATTAGCGAGGGCGAGGCGGGTGCGTGATTGGGCGGCGGAGAGAGAATGGGCTGATCGGGCTGAGGTGAGCTGAGGATGACTGATGGGCGGGATGCGAATGATAATCACCGGTGACCGAATTAGTGAGTGGGCCCAAGATCAGACAGAATGATTAGATGAGGCTGGATTTGATTAGGATGACGATGGATGGGGGTGATTCGAATTATAATCTGTGGACTGAATTAATGATTGGGCCCAAGATCAGACAGAATGATTAGATTGATTTGAATCTGATTAGGATGACAATGGACAGGTGCGATTCGAATTATAATCAATAGATTGTGATTGGTGATTCGGCCCAGACTAAAATAGAATGATTAAATCGATGTTGAAGTGATTAAATAGCGATGGATGGATGTGATTTGAATCCTAATGAGCAGATGGAGTGCGTGATTGGGCGGCGGAGAGAGAATGGGCTGATCGGGCTGAGGTGAGCTGAGGATGACTGATGGGCGGGATGCGAATGATAATCACCGGTGACCGAATTAGTGAGTGGGCCCAAGATCAGACAGAATGATTAGATTGATTTGAATCTGATTAGGATGACAATGGACAGGTGCGATTCGAATTATAATCAATAGATTGTGATTGGTGATTCGGCCCAGACTAAAATAGAATGATTAAATCGATGTTGAAGTGATTAAATAGCGATGGATGGATGTGATTTGAATCCTAATGAGCAGATGGAGTGCGTGATTGGGACGATGGAAGTCCAGGGAGAACGATTAGATGATTCGAACTGTAATCAGTAGATTGGAAAGGAGTGATTGGGTGAAGATGAAGCGATGTCGTGAGAAAAAAAAAATCATTAGATGTTAACTGGAAAGATTAAATTAATGTGAAATGATTCGATGACGATGGTTAGGAATACGATTGGAGTCATAATCAATAGATTGTGATTGGTGATTCGGCCCAGACTAAAATAGAATGATTAAATCGATGTTGAAGTGATTAAATAGCGATGGATGGATGTGATTTGAATCCTAATGAGCAGATGGAGTGCGTGATTGGGACGATGGAAGTCCAGGGAGAACGATTAGATGATTCGAACTGTAATCAGTAGATTGGAAAGGAGTGATTGGGTGAAGATGAAGCGATGTCGTGAGAAAAAAAAAATCATTAGATGTTAACTGGAAAGATTAAATTAATGTGAAATGATTCGATGACGATGGTTAGGAATACGATTGGAGTCATAATCAATAGATTGTGATTGGTGATTCGGCCCAGACTAAAATAGAATGATTAAATCGATGTTGAAGTGATTAAATAGCGATGGATGGATGTGATTTGAATCCTAATGAACAGATGGAGTGCGTGATTGGGGCGATGGAAGTCCAGGGAGAACGATTAGATGATTCGAACTGTAATCAGTAGATTGGAAAGGAGTGATTGGGTGAAGATGAAGCGATGTCGTGAGAAATAAAATAATAAGAATAATAATGATAAACAATAAAATAATAACAATAATAATGAAATAATTATAACAGTAATAATAATGATAACAATAATGATAACAACAAAGCATAACGTCAAAATAAGTGCTAGTATGAAGACAACAAAATGGGACAGATTCAGCTTGTGGTTACCTCTGCAGTTAACGATTTCATGCTTCCAGTGGGAACCGAACACCAAATTAATATCTACTGTGATAAACCCCTTTTATTGCTCTTCTAAGTTAATGGTGTGAGTGAAATGAGGTGAAGTCATGCACTGATTAATGCCTTCTAGATTTGCTAAGACCTTCTGCCTATATTAAGGCTGGAAGCATCCTTCACCAACCTGCTAATATCGGACAAAATTACCTCTCGCCCTTCTTCTGTTTAACATATTTACATACTGATGATCTAATTTGGGACTTAATAGCTCTCAGATTAAGAATGAAAAGAAAAATGCAGTTTGTCATGGTGGAGGATGCTCACCAGCTGACGTGTCTATTCGTATTTTGCCTCTTTCATGCAAACTGAGATGCTGATATTTCGCGTTTTTTAAAAAACCTGTCAGTTATATTAAAATCTCTGAAACAGAAGCTTATATATACACGTCATATATATTCATTTATATATATATATATATTTGTATATAATCATACATACATATATACATATAAACATATACATATGTATATATATATATATATATATATATATATATATATATATATATATATATATATATATATATATATATATATATATATATATATATATGTATATATACATATATATATATATATATATATATATATATATATATATATATATATATATATATATATATATATATATATATATATATACATATGTATACATATGCATATACACGCGTAGGTATAAAAAATATGTGTATATATATGTATATATATACACATACATATATAAACATATACATATATACATATACATGTATGTTTATACACACATGCATATATATTCACACTATAACCTTAAACATAGTCCCTGACTTAAAGCAAACATCCTGAATGACATAAAAAGGAAACGACCTAACGACCCTAACCGACTCTCCCGACGAAATCTCAACTGGAAGTATAAGCGCCAGAAACCCCCGTACATACCACAGCTTTGTATAAGGTGAGGTTCAGCAGGGTTGGATTCGTCTCAATAACCTCGAACTCCTCTTCCCTGGGTTCGAAACCTTCAGCGTACACCTGGAATTATTACAGTAATGATAACAACATTAAGAATAGTGATAATGGTGATGGTATTACTAGCAATAAGGATAAAGATCATTACGAATATGAAAATGATGATAATAATAGAAGTAATAATTGTGATACTACTACTACTACTAATAATAATAATTATCATCAAAGTCATAATTTTTAACAGCTATGCCGATGACGATGGTAATGGTATGATGGCGATGATGATGGCAATAATGGCAACGATGATAATAATGACGATGATGGTACCCAACCGGGTGGTGAATAGACAAACGGACAGACAGACTGCTAATGAATAAACAGACCCACCCTTTACCCCACTCCCCCCTTCCCCTCGTACCTCATGGCGCATCGGCCGGCGAGGGAGACGGATGAAGGGACAAATAAAATGACCGATAGATACCGCGCTAAACAATATACAGAACCAAAAAAATATATATAACCTGAAAAGAACAGGAGGACGGAAAGTCCTTCCCGCCCTCCGTGGTGCAGACGGAGCGACAAACGGACAAATAAAATGAGTTGACAGATACATCGCCAGCCAATGACCAATCTTCACCCTCGATAACCTTAACAAACAAACACAAAAAACAAGTAAAGTGAGCGGAGAAGGCGGCTCGAGGCACAGGGCCAACCTCGTACCTCGATGGCGTAGCGGCCGGGCAGCAGGACGCGCCAGTACTCCCCGTACTTGGTGGTCTGGAAGCCGACGTCGCGCCCCTTGATCTTGAGCGACGCGCCCTCCACGGGGGCGTTGCGCTCGTCCTTCACGAAGCCCCGGACGCCGCGGTGCACCTCGCCCAGGTACCTCACTAGGGCCTGGAGGGAGAAAGAGGGGGCGGAATGAAGTACAGAATAAAGAGGGAGGAGGAAATGGGCGGAGGGGAAATGAGAGACTGGTGTGTATAGTGGAGAGCGAGAAAGGAATGGGAATGAGACACTGTGTATACATAACAGGGAGGGAGGAAGGAATGGGATAGATGGAATACGAGGAGCTATATACAACGGAGGAGCAAGGAAATGGGACGGTACGGTGAGAGACTCACCTATATAGGGAAAGGAAAATTTAACGTCACATTAAGAAATTACAAATGAGTTCCTCGCAAATGGTTCCTCACAAATATTTTCCTGTGGCTTGGAAGGAAGAAAGGGAGAGACGGACAGAGTGAAATGGGGATACAACGACTTTGAAAGATAAGAGCAAAGAAGTTTTATGAGTGTGAGCTGCATCGTGAGGGGTCGGGAGTCATGAGGCCTCGGTCCCTGACTAAAGTCCCGGGAAGAGGATTAGGAAAGATTGCGAGTCAAAAGTGGGTCTCAGACCACTTGTTCGAGAAAACGTCTACTAAATATTTTGTCAATCTAAACCGCCATCTATATCATATATTCACTCTATATTTAATAAACGCAATTGATCTGAGACTCCCTTTGGGCGCGCATACCCTCATATGATGAATGAACAAAGAAATATAACGGGAATATGATATAATGAATTGATAACGTGAATACAGAAAACTCGATATAATCGATATCTCGATATAACGGATTTTTACTTTGCGTTCATCTCACTCTGATGTCTCATTCTAACCTCAGTGACGTAATAAGACTACACAAAATTTAAAGAGTGACAAGATGGAAATATTAGAAAATTAGGATTACATTTCTATAAGGAACTAACGCTGAAAAAAATGACGACTAGTGGTTGAGGGAAATAAAGTGAATATGAATAGAAGATCCATTAATGACTACATAACGATATCATGAAGACATGTAAGGAATTGGCAAGTATAATGAAATATATTTGATAAAGATTGAATAAAATATATACACTAAAATCATATGAAATATATATATATATAGTGAACATGATAGAATTAAGTAACTGATTCACATTTTGGAATATTCTGAGATCATTGAATCTTGATTTTCAAAAGATTCGACATCAAGAACAAATTATAAAAATGTATTTCCCACCTGGTACTATATTGTATTTTCTATCAAATACATGATTATTTGAACAGTGTAAAATGTGACACATAATCAAACAAACATGCTACAAATACAACGAATCTATAAGAAAAATACAGTCATAGTTATCTGCATTTCCAGAGAAATACAAAGCGGATGAAATCTCACTCTAATTAGTAATTTATAAAAGAAAGAGAGAAAGAAACAAACACATGTCATACTGAAACAAAAGAAACAAATACATGTCATACTGTGGAGTCAACCATCGGAAACTATCATCATTAATGCAACCACGTTTTCGAAATCCTTTCACGTCTAAGACAATAATCTTAATTCTTCTTATTCGTAATTGCAACGCCTTTAAGATAGCATTATGCAGTTGCAACTAATTCAGATGTTCTTATTCATACCTGCAGCAGATATACTTTATTTCGTAAATATAACCGTTTTAATGATGCTTGATATGAACTCAAACCTAATCATCTGCAACAACAACCGTTCTGCAACCAACCCTCTTATCATCTTCCCAGTCATAGGCATAAATAGTTACAGTTAAGCCTAATTCTATGCAACATTGCCCGTCTTGCAACCAACCTTCTTGTTGTCCTCCCAGAATTTGGGCAGATCATCAGCGGGGGGGTATTTGCAACATGACATTTCAATGGTGATGTCCATGCAACCGTGCCAGACGTAGTTGTAGTCTTGCATGCCACCTGCAACGGAAAATGCAACATTATGTGATTCGTTTGCTATGGTGCACGCGGGGGGGGGGGGGGATGGGAAGGGAGAAGAAGGGAAAATAAAAGAAGAGAATGAAAGGGACGGGGGACGGGAGGGGGAGAGAGGGAGGAAGAGTAAGTGGAAAGGAGGAAGGAAGGGCGAAGGGAAAAGATGTGGAGGAGAAAGGAACATGTAGGAAAGGTCTGAGAGAGAGAAAGAGAGCGATATATATGTATATGTATATGTGTATATATATATATATATATATATATATATATATATATATATATATATATATATATATATATATATATATATATATATATATATACATAGAGAGAGAGAGAGAGAGAGAGAGAGAGAGAGAGAGAGAGAGAGAGAGAGAGAGAGAGAGAGAGATGACGAAGTAGGTAGAAAAGGGAGGTGGTGATGAAGAGGAGGGCGGGGGGAGGTAAATCGAGAAAAAAATGCAACAAGAAGAAAAAGGAAAAAAATCGTCCCAACTTTAATCAATGTAGGCAAAGTTTGAGAGACATTTTTCAACTTTTTCACTTTTCTAAAGAGAGTTGGATAGCAATATTTCTCGCAGAGTTTCCTTGAAACTGATAGTCCTTTAATTAAACATCAAACTCTTTTAAGATTCTCTCATATTATGCTTTTTTCTATTTTTTTTTACAGCAATAGCTAGTAACATTAATAACTACAATAAGCTTTTCTCCACTAATCAAATTCTGACCAACGAGAATACAATACGCGTATATAAACACAATAAAACTTACACACAGGTACACATAAATCAGTAACGCACATATCCACACAGAACACAACCCTGGCAACAGCCATACAGACACACACTCTCAAAAAATAAAACATAAACACGTACACACACGAACATACATGTAACTAGAAACACAGAAACAACAAAAACCGACATATATGCACACGAAAATAACTATTACCCCAACCACACATGTACACACACGAGTAAAATGTAAATGTAAATATAAATATAAATAATAATAATAATAATGATAATAATAATAATAACAATAATAATAATAATAATAATAATAATAATAATAACAATCATAATAATAATAATAATAAATAGTGATAAATAGTAATAAATTATAATAATAGATAAATAATAATAAGTATAAATCATTAATCAACAATAAATAATGATACCAATGATAATAATAAAGAAATATAAATCATCAATCAACAATAAACAGACAAAAAAAAAAAAAAAAAAAACAATAACATCAACAAAAACGCAATCCGACGCACCGGTGAGCGGGTACCAGGCGGCCCCGTTAGTGGTGCCGTTGGCGAAGGTGGGCGCGCCCGGTTTGCAAGGGAGACCCAGGTGCATCGTGGCGTGGTTGAAGGCGTAGAGGCTGGCGATATGCTTGAAGACGTCGTCATCAGGCGTGAGCGAAGGCGTGGAGGTGAACTGTTGGAAGACTGTTGGGAGAAAATACGTTAGTGTTGGAGGAATGGCTCGGAGGAGGAGGAGGAGGGAGGAAGAGAGAGGGAGAGGAAGAGGGGGTGGGGGGGGGTGTACGCGTGTGACTTGTCTGTGTTTCTGTCTGTTTGTGGTCTCTGTTATATGAGGGTGGGAAAGGCGTTCAAGAAGATAGCGTGAGATTGTGTTCCTGCATTTACGCTCTCACGGTACAGTAACTTGACCTCAATACGAAATGACCATCTTCTGACTGGTGTAAATCTAATGTTTACTTGGCATGTTTAACTTGTTGAATTTCTCAATAAAATGCATTCATTGATGTGTTTTTAAACTGAACTTTAAAAGACAAACTTCCGTGTCAGGTTAGCGTAAATGCAGTAAATGCAGTTTATGTCTTAGAGTCATGTCATGTCATGCATTGATGTGTGAGTATGACAGTGCTCCTATGACGTCATGGTGTGTCATTTATAAGAAATTGAGATGAATGGGAATAAACAAATAAATGGACATAGAAAAGAACAAAAATAGAAAATATATGAACAGCGTAGGGATGGAATAGTGTGTACTGAATGAATATGTGAATAAATGAATAAGTGGAAGTGAAAATAAGATAACTAAAAATAAAATAAATATAAACGATGAAATGTTATGTACTAGGCCTACATTCAAAAGTCATGTGCTGAATAGAGTTGTATGAATGTCATGGATGGTAATAATGAATAAGTATATTGATTGTGCTCCGTTTGTTCAAATGAACATTGGTAAGAAAAAGTAAAACAAAGTTAAAAAGATTGGGTCCTTGTAAATAAATCACGGATGATCATGGCAGTAATCAAGAAAAATAAGTGAAATCGGGCGCATGGATCCCGTAGATTCAAGCGTCAGGGGCCATGACCGGCTCGGAACGAATGCATAAAACATGTGTAAAATGGCTAAAAAAAGAGAAAAAGAAATGGGAAACTGAATCCATGGCGCTTCAAGTGAAGGAAAGAAGAAGAAATTTTGTACGTCTTCGCACAAAATAAACATATTTAGAAAAAAAAAACGTATGAACTGATAGATAGACAGGTAGGTAGAATGATAATTTAGATAAAATAGGAAATGATACTGTGTATTTTCTTTAATGAATTTTAGTTCAGACAGAAATTATTCTTTATCTACCGTTTACGAAAACGAATAACTGCAAAATGTGGGATAATTAAGAGAAAATGATTGATGACATTGTGTGTCTGTGTTCATAAAATGATTATGGAAGTCAAAGAAATTGTTATATGTAAGCATTTACAAGAAGTTGCTGAGTGTTGTGGAAATGTTGTGGATAGAATAAGAAGAACGATCATTAATTCAACTTCAATATATATGCAGTTTTCACACATTTTAATATATTTGATCAACATTAAGATAACACTAATTTAAGGGAATCAGAAATCCGATATCAGCAATGTACAGTATATCATGGTCTAAACGACGTGCAAGCTCTCAAAAAACACCAACAAAAAAACAACGAATCAAATTTACAAAAGGAAAGAATTACGGAACTCAAAACGGTCAAAAAACAACATTACACAACACACAACGAAAGCAAAGAACGGCACAAACGAAGCCACAGAAACTACCACACAAGTGCAACGCCACAAACCATGCGTCCTACAGAGCACACTTTGGCACACACAGAGCTGGGCACACGCAAGTACACATACTGGGTATACACGGGTTTCAGAAATGAAAACAGACTACATAGTTGGGCACACAAGCATACACTCGTATAGCTGGATACAAGTATACACACGTTATACTGTCTTCACTATATATATATATATTTAATAGTATATACATAAACGCGTGTATTTAGGCAAAGGTATACATTCGTAAAGACACAGTTTTTTTGTGCAGTATCTGTGGATTAGCCAATATTTACCAGCTGCTTTTGTTATGGTAAATACAAACAAACAAACAAAAAAAGTAAAAGGATACCTCTGCCCGAACACGCCAATGTATACACACGTAGCTACTTACACAGGCATGGACAATCGTACCCAGGAACTAAAACAAGTGTATTTGAATGTGTTTATGAACCCCTCGATAGATATGTGTGTATACGAGTAGACAGACTCCAATAACAGAGATACATTGAGCTGGACAGAAGTTGACTATGTGAATACCAAAACACACAGGCGTAAAAGAACACTTGCGGTTTACACTTGTAAATGTAAATTGCACTGTACTCCAGGTATTCATGCAACTCTTTTAGATACTCCAAGTGTCACGGATTTATTTCTTTGCTTTTTATGTATATCATTTTTTTTTTATATTTCAGTGTCATATATTTAAGTCATTCTTAGAGCGACGTCTTGCTTTAAGGATGTGACCTAACGTCGTTCTTTCCCTTTTTTAATTAGTTTGGGGTTTTATTTCATATTTAGTCACAGTTTTTCATTACGAGTCTTATCACACGCGAGTTTAAACCATCTTGTTAAACCTAAAAAATAAAAAAAATAAAAAATAAAAGACACACGACCTCATCCATCGAAGTCGACGGTGACTGCAGAACAACGACTCAAGTAAACAAATAAATAAATAATATAATCTACGTTACGGTCATAAAACACAACACTTGACTAACTCTCAAGCACTCTAACAGCGGGACACGAAAGCGCACGCAGCGGTCGCAGAATCCACACGCTAAAACGACAGCCTTTTAAAAGGGGCGCCACTCCGAGCCAAGGGTGCTGGGAGGGGAGGGGGGGGGGCAGTCGGGAAGGGAAAATCGGCAAATAAACATTAAAGGGGATTTTTTTTCTCTCTCTCTCTCCTTTTTTTTAAACTTTGAAATTCAAAAGTTTGATTATTAGGATTTGATTTTTTTTCTTCTTTTTTAGATATAAAACTTTGGACATTGGTACTTTTTATGAAGAAAATAACAATAACAAAATTCTATGTGTCCCTCATCAAGCAAAAAAGAAGAAGAAGAAGAAAAATAATAAAAAAAAAACGCAAGCCGAAAGGAAACCAAAAAGAAACGAAACGGAAAGGAACTATCTGGAGGCCACCACCACCACCACCAAGAGGCCTCATCCTCATCCTCAGCCTGGAGGACGAGCCCGCGCACTCACCGCTTCGAAAATCAACTTCCTCTCTATCTGCTTCGCCATTGGTCGACTTTAGCAATCGGAGAAGAAGCAGCCAATCGTGAGCTGGAACGTGGGGGCCAAAGACTCACTGGATGGACTCTCAACAAGGGCTTCAAAAGGCTCTCAACATTCTCTCTCTCTTTCTCGATTTTTTCTTTCTTTTTTTTCGTTTTTGTTTTTAATATGAAAATGAGTATTGATGCTAATAACTCTATTCCTGTCTTCGCTTTTCTCAACAGTGTTTTCAAAAAGGGTCTCAAAACTCTCTCTCTCTCTCTCGTATTTTTAACAGAAAGAATTACTCCTATTTATCTTATAGCCTTTTTCCTCGCTTCCTCAACAGAGTTTCAAAATAGATCTTAAGACTCTCTCTTTCTTTCTCTCTCTCTCCCCCTCTTTTTTTAAACAGAAAATTACTACTGCTATCTTTTTCGTTTTTTTCCCTTTCTTGTATATAACTTCTCTTCCTCAACAAGGTTTCAAAGTACTCTCTCTCTCGTTTTTTTTTTCTTCTTTGATAGAAAACTGCTATTTCCCTACAGTCGCTCTCTGGTTTCTCACCGTAATATCATCCTGGTTTATTTTTCCCTTTTTGTTTTAAGCTAGTAGTCGTGTTTGCTTATCGTTATTAAGGAACTTTTCTCTCAACATGATCTCTTTTTCAAATTTAGTATAATCTATTTTTTTTTTCTCATAATTAAGACTTCGACATAGTATAAAGATGACCAGTAGCTCTCTCTCTCTCTCTCTCTCTCTCTCTCTCTCTCTCTCTCTCTCTCTCTCTCCCTCTCTCTCGCTCACTCTGTCTCCGCATCTCTCCCTCTTTATCCTTTTTATTTTATTTTAGTTCCATTCGTTAGACTATCAAAATCGTTTTTGGCATAATTCGTCCCACTAAAATTTCCAGTCGACATATTATTCACAATGTATATTCCTACGACATTCGCTCATTTATTTCTAATTTCTATTTTGGAGAATCCTATCACGCCTTTACTTACTCTTGTAACTATATAATTAATATTCTTTGCATATATTCTATTATTTTTTTCTAATATATTATTTTTTATACAGACGATCGCAATAGACTTGGTAGACTTTTGAATGCGATTAAAAATGACGCCTTTCTCTCTCTCTCGATTTTAAACCAGATGATATAAAACTATTTATACGTATCGTATCTCGCGGATTATGAATACCATAATGATATTGTTTTTACTGTTATACAGGCAATCGATATCCATTATCATCATCGTTATCATTATCATGATTATCATCATTAACATTCTCATTATTTTTATCATTATTATCATAATTATCATTGTCACAATTGAAATAATTATCACCATTGTCATTGTCATTATTACAGTTTTATGGGTATATATGACTATATATATGCAATAATAACGACTGTGATGATGATAATGATAATGGTAATAATAATCCTAATGATAACAATAATAGTCATACTACTAATAATAGCAATAATCGTAATAATAATAACAATAGAATAATTATAATGATAATAACAATAATAGCATTAACCTTTCATGTTCTCTCTCTCTCTCTCTCTCTCTCTTTCTCTCTCACTCTCTCCTTCTTTTCGTCCCTTTCTTGTTTCTGGCCATTACCGGGTATCGTTGATCAAAAGACATATGGATAAACAGATTAATAAATAGATAAATAAGGAACTGTTTGTTAATCTTTTTCTTTTTAAGTAAAAAAAAAAGAAAAAAAAAGAAAATAAAACGCAAGGATATAATTTTTCATTTCAATTATCTTCTCTTTTATCTGTTATCACTTTCTTCTTCTTTCCGTCCTAGTCCTTCCTCTTCCGTTGAAAAGCTCGAGAAAAGAAATATGAAAGGAAAAACGAGTCTATCTTCCCGCCATCGCCTACTCTCCTTTTTTTACTCCAAAAGTCTTTTCATGATGTAATATTTTCCGTTTTTTCTCTCTCTCTTTCTTTCCATCGCCCAGAAGGGAAACTAATGTATAATAATCCAGCTTGTGACTCGAAATGTGAGTGTTATTTTTTTATGGAGTCCTAATGAATCTTTTCCTTATTGCAGCCTGTCCTTCTACGAAATACATGCAGGAACTATAAACCACTTGGTTCAAACCAAAATGATAATAACAATGATGATAATAATAAATAAATATATAAATAACAAAAGGGAGTGTGCCCAAAATAGAATTGTTATTTTTATTGACATACAAATTATTTACAAAAAAAATAATATATAAATAATTCAGATCAAAAGTTGAAATAAATATAAATCTGTTGCTTAGGGAGTTCAACCCTCAGTGCTACAGGCTTGATTTGGGCCTACGGAATATATATATATATGTATGTATATATATGATAACTTGGTGATGCAGAGTCATCTTACACATGGGATAAAATACCTGCACACAATGGCTTCAAGTCGCAGTTCTTGACTACGGGCAGTACAGGACAAAGAATCATGTTAGTAGTGTTACAGGCTGTCTGTCCACAACATGGTTACACAGTAGAACCCTCACACAAACTACTGTCTTCTCCTCCACACAAGAAATCACAATGATGCTACAGTCCTCTCCCTTGCTATCTGCTATGATGTGCATAGCAACGACTCCTGAATATTTTAGAGGATAAATGTACAATAAAAGGTATAATCGTTTAAGAAAAAAATGGCACTGAAATTGTGTGTTAAATGGCTGACTCCTGATTCAGCAAAAAGTGAGAGGAATATTATGGAAGGATTATTCAGTTGGGCAAATCTTGCACAATCTTGCAGGTGTTGAGAGACTGAATGATAAGAGAATTCTTTTCTGCTTCAGAAATGTGAACACTACAAAAGAAATCATTATTCATAAAGAATTAGAATTCAACTATAACGATATAATACCCTGTATCAATTACCCTCAGATATCTTCATAATGTTAAATATAAAAGGAACTTCTCAAAAAAAAAAAAAAAAAAAAAAAAAAAAAAAAAAAAAAAAAAAAATCCTATACCAGATTATACCACCAATATTTGGTGCCTATTTATCTTAGTAATATGAACAGGAAAAAAGACTCAGCCATCTCATAATAGAGAAATAAATAGACTGCAAAAAAAAAACATTAACAAAATAGTATGTGAATATATCTTAAATCACAATAGATGGATTAGTATCTAAACCTCCTTTAACTATATTTAAGAAAGAAAAAATAACTATTTATGAAAAAAAAATCTTTAGCACAAAAGACTTATACTCGTGAGAATGTAAATAATCTTGGAATTTAAGCAAAAATATAATCATAAAATCTTTACAATATCAAATACTAAACGAAAGAAAAGATTAAAACGAAAAAAAAGAAAAAGGCTCCAAGAATAATAATCTAATGGATAAATAAATAAAGTGACTAAACCCATAACGTAAATGAAAAAAAAAAAAACAAATAAAAGAAAAAAGACCCTCTTCATAGAATAATGAATAGCAATGTCAAATAAGAGTAAATTAACAAATAAAAGATAGAAAACTAAGAAAAACAACGCCCCCAAAATACCCCTTGTGTTGGGCGGATTATCGAATACAAAACAAGAAAACAATAAAACAAAAACAAAAACAAACAAACACGAAATAAAAAGAGAAAAACAAACCAACACAACAAAAAGAAAAACAACAACAAATCAACAAAACAAAAAAGAAAACAACAACAAAAAAACAAACAGAAGAAGAAAAAAAGAAAGAACAGAAGAAGAAGAAAAAAAAACATAGAAGAAAAAGAAGAAGAAAACAAAAACAAAACAAAACAAAATAAACAAAAAGAAAAACAAAAGGGGTACGCGAAGGTCGTCCTCGAACTCACTGGTGTTGGGCGAGTTGTCGAAGGGGTAGGAGGCCACGAGGGCGCCGCCGTGCAGGTTGGCCGAGAGCACGAACTGGATCTTGGACACCCACTGCTTCACGGCCTCGGCTTCCGGCTGCGACCGCTTGTTGTTCTGCTTGAAGTAGTCGGGGAAGTTGCGGTTCAGGTCGAAGCCGCGGGAGTTGTACCTGCAGAGAGAGAAAGCAGGGGGGGGCGGGGGGTGAGTGGGTATTTGGGGTGAGTGGGTGACCGAAAGGTTTGTGAATAAACGAGCAACTAAACACAAACTACTATTGGGCTTTTAAGATTCTATATCAGTACCATTTCCCTATCGGAAGAGCATCAATAGCGATTAAAAGTATACCCTTACTTACGTATGGACGTCTCTCTCTCTCTCTGTATCTCTCTCTCTCTCTCTCGTTCTTGTTCTCTTTCTCTCTCTCTGTCTCTCCCTCTCTCTCTCTCTCTTTCTCTCTCTCTTTCCCTCTCCCCCTCTCTCTCTCTTTCTCCCTCCCTCCCTCCCTCCCCTCCATCCCAGTCCCTGCCCCTCTCACTCACCTCCCCTGCCCTCCCTGGCACGTGCCCTCCCTCGCCACTTCGAAGCCATCCGGGTTCATCGAGGGCAGGATGTGGATGCGGGTATTGTCCAGCAGCCAGCGTACGTAGTCGTCCGTGTGGTAGCTCTTCGCCAGGTACTGGGGGGGGGGGGAGAAGGGAGAATGAATCGTGGAGTCAGTGGAGTCGTTCATTGGGCAGCAAAGTCATTAGTTAGGGAGTAAAGTCATTGATTAAGTAGTGAATCATTGATAAGGCTGTAAAGTCATTACTTAGGCAGGAAAGTTATTAATTTGGAAGTAGAATCATCATTTAGGCAAAAGAGACATTGATTAGACAGTAAAGTAATTGATTAGAGAATAAAGTTATTACTTGGGCAGCAAAGTATCAATTAGGCAGCAAAGTCCTTAACAAGGGAATGAAGTCATTAATAGGGCAGCAAAGTCATTAATTGGGAAATAAATTTCGCGAACAGGCTATAGAGATTCAGTTAAGTAAATTGATAATTGATAAATATTCAATTAAGTTAACTAATTCATAAAGTCATTTATTAGGCAGTAAAGTCCGTGAACAATTTATATAGACTTTCGGTAAAATAAACTGATAGTCGATAAATATTCAGGAAAGTTAATGTGTAGCCAATGAACAGTCAACAATATTAAGCATTAGTTAACACATTCACAGAAAATACAAGTGAAAAAAAAATAACCAGAATCAACTAATTAACTCATGCACTTAAAAGGCTAATAAATGCAGACA